CACTTCTCTTGTTCGTGAATATTCCCATACTAGAGACCTGGTCATTCTATAAAATCACATAAATATTCAATGAGAAACCCATAATTATATTCTCACAGTTAAGACTCGAGTGGTGAAAGGTCTGTAACCAACTTCGGTATTTCTCCAGTTCCTCACACTACTGGGGTCGATTTAAATTACTGATTGGCTAGTTAGGCTCTCCTTTTTACCCAGTCATAGATAAACATTTCTTGATAAAACAATCTCTTTTCACGAGATTAGCTTTCAATCTTTACAACAACACCCTCAGGACTTCGATACTTTAGACAAAGTTTCCATATTATCTGATATCTCTCTGCCTGAACTTATCCTAAATTTTAATTACATCCTGGAGAAAAATTAAATGGATGCTCCAATATCTGTAGCAGTTATACATATAGCTCTTAAGAATAAACAAAATACTGCACTACTTCTTCGTCGTACTCCGATGAAGTTATTTCTACTTCTGGCAACAGCAACACTCTTTACAGGTTCCCCCCCCCCCAGTAGCACAGCGGTATGTCTGCAGACTTACAACGCTAGAAACCGAGTTTTGATAGCCGTGGTGGTCAGAGCACAGATAGCTCATTGTGTAGCTTTGTGCTTAACTTCAAACAAACAAACTTTACAGGTTTTCTTCACACTGGATTTTACCCACAATCTTGGAATTTTCAATAATTCAACTTTCGTTGAAACCCAATAAGCCTCCTTTAAGTATAAGCTCCTACCGTCTAGTCAGTCTCACAAGTGTATTTAGTAAAATATTTAAGTATAAACTTGTTAAGCGTATAACCTTTTGCCAAATCCGCAGTCTGGATTTCGTCCCCTACTTTCGTAGGATTAGTCTGCCTACCTTTCAGATACTTTTAACAATTGTTCAAATACAAACCGATCAGTTATGATACTTTTTGTTCTTGAAAGAACTTTTGATTCGGTCTGACATCGAGGATTGATCTTCAAGCTCTGCTGTGTACCTAAACTACTTAAGTAATTCATTCATTCTTTATGAAACGTCAGGCAGTCATCTTTATAGAAGGCACCTTACCCATACACGTGTTTCACAAGGCTCAGTTCTTTCATCTTCGATAAGCATTTGACATTGAAAACTCTCCTTGCAACAGTTAATTTCAAGGTCACATAACGACACAATCTTCTGCAATTTTTTACTGGAATCACTTGGGATTTGAAATTCACCTCTTCTTCTCTATTCTTATAAGGCCTTCAATCCATTTTGCATTACCTATGATTATATCGCACCTCATGGCTATCTGCCTCTTCTTCTTCTTTTGACAAAAACAACTCAGTTCAACTCAGAAGATGTATGACAGCATCACATTTCCCAACTTTCACCATCATCATCTTCAGAATCTTCGTATCAAGTGTATCACGTACTGCTTTCATACTGACAACGTCATCATTGCCGACTTGCTAACCTCTTCAGCTCATCCTCCACGAAAACTGCTTCCTCTAGTTAAACATCAACATACATAACATATCTCTTCTGGAGTGTGATACTGATCATGTAGCTTCGTCATTGAAAAATCTGCCTTTGTATACTTATCCTACCTGAAGATCGTTTTTTCTTCTCATATCTCACTTTTATCACTGATTGAATAAAGTTTTATATATTTGACCAGCATGATTTCACACCATTCAGAGTCATTATTAGGATCCTTTTCAGTAAAGTAAAATATATACCTAGTCAACAATTATCCACAGCTATTCATAGCCGCTATGCTTTGAAGTTTTATCTCTAGGCTGAAGAGACAGCGTAATCTTCTATTGAATGGAATGACAGAGAAAGGAAAAAATAAAAATGTCTTGTGCGCAACCTTCTGCTGGAATGGAATGACAGAGAAAGGAAAAATAAAAATGTATTGTGCGTAATCTTCTGCTGGCCCGCAACTTCTTTTGAGGAGAATGGGATGAAATATCTTTTTTTAAATATTTTGTCTCTATTCGCCCAACCTAACTAATAAATTCTTATATTGAACGAAAGGCTTAGAAGGAGTGTGAAAAAACGACATCCGCAAATTACGTTATTTTTATCCCAAATTTTAGGCCTATTGGTTTGTAATGCTTCGCCAGTTTTTGGCGCTTAAATTGTAACTATCAAGCTAAATAGTTCTCGGTTATATTTTTCATCTCCCTAGAGATCAATAGTCTTGAAGCAATTTCATTTTTTCATATTTTTCCTTTTTAATATGAATGAAAAATACTCATTAACGCAGGAAAACATACAATGTCGGAACTTAATCAAATGAAAATACAAAAAAAAAGGAAAAATAAAAGTTCTTGGATTATTATCTCTCTAACTTACATTTATTCTGATCATATCAAGAGATTAGCTACTTGTCTTATGTCTTGCATAGTGAAATTAAATCATACTTACAAATCATTAAATCTCCAAAATACTAAAGTGAACTGCTTCGAGATCAGATCCTAATCCACATTCTGATCAGACCTTACATCTACAGTCTAATCTGAGTTTATATGCCCTAATTATGTATATTCCCTACCACTGGCTAACATAATAGCAAAAAAGAAAAACAACCAAAAAGAAAAAAACGATACAGGGATATATATAAAGGATGGAATCTAAATTGCGAATATATTATAGATTGGAATTTTCCATAACTTGGTGGCTTCAGTGTGTCTTAAATCTTTGTCTTATTATTATTTTACTTTTTTCATCATGGTCTATTTTCAATAGTCGAAATAAAGATCATTATATCGCATATTCGTAACACTGAACCCATAATGAATGACTAATAATCATTACAGTCTCAAGTTATTCATTCTTTACTCGATTAAGGGCAATATTTTGGTAACATAATCAAACTGTCTTGTTTGAATACTAATGCTTCTGTTGTTCGATATGCTAGTTCGATTGTCAGGCTATGTAACTTTCGGTAAAATAACCAAAGTTAACTGCTAGTGACTCTTTTGATCGATATTTCCGTGTTCGGATCCATGCGTTACCACAAAATATCCTTCGCACTTTAAGCTGTAGATGCCTCATAAAAGAGTAACAGTCAATAACTTAGCTTGTATGATTGGTGTTAAGGTGCTGCTAACTGGTAGCCATATCTCTGGCAACTAGATCAGAGTTCAGAGATGAGAGTCAAATAGCCAAGTTGTTTTGCCATTAATACAAATTACAATAACAATTGGTTGATATTTCAGATTGATTGTTATGAAATGTAGCTTCTTTTTTTTTTGTAAAATAACCAAAGTTACTTCGTTGAATATCAACATCTCTATAGCTCGATATTCTAGTTTGATTTTAGAAATGTTGTCTTTTTGTGTGGTAAAATAACTCAACTTACTTGGGTGGATATTAGTGCCTCTATAGCTCGATATTCTAGCTTGATTTTAGAAATGTAATCTCTTTTCGTGGTTAAATAACTCAACTTACTTGAGTGGATATTAGTGTCTCTATAGCTCGATATTCTAGCTTGATTTTAGAAATTGTCTCTTTTCGTGGTAAAATAAATGAAGTTACTTGAGTGGATATTAGTGCCTCTATAGCTCGATATTCTAGCTTGATTTTTGTGATTTTGTAAAAATCTTGATGTTGTTATTGTTGTTTGAAATTAAGCACAAAGCTACATAATAGGCTCTCTGTGCTCTGCTCAGCACGGGTATCGAAAATCGGTTTCTAGCGTTGTAACTTCGCAGACATACCGCTGTGCCATCTAACATTTTGAAGGCAAACTAAAAATGTAGAATATAATGAGGCGAAAATATTAAACACATAATGAATTAAGTGGTGCCTTTTCATAAATCCCTTAGTTCCTTGCAAAAAATGTACAATTATGTGGTACTTTTAATGCATAACGTATTTTTCTTTTTTGAGAAATAAACATCAAATGAAGTTTCGAAGATGTCACATTCTAATTTTGGCAAGACATGTCTACTTCCCACTCAGCTATTATGCCACTCAGCATCGGAACAGCCAACAACCATCAATCGCAACAGAGTCGGCATCTCTTTCAAAAGTATTCGTGGTTACTTGCTTGAGTATTATTTTAATGTAGTTTTATATCTGAGATCTACTTCTTTCTTACATCGCTTGGTCATGAAGTTTATATTAAACTTCTGTGTCTGATTGAGGTTAAAAATGTTGCTATTACACGGTGTGTTGAACTGTCTTTCCTTATGCTAATTTAAGTGTAAGGTCAACAATATGATGATAATAGATCAACAAGATGGTGGTAATAGAGCAATATAAGATGGTGATAATAGATCAACAAGATGGTGGTAATAGAGCAATATAAGATGGTGGTAATAGATCAATATAAGATGGTGGTAATAGATCAATATAAGATGGTGGTAATAGATCAATATAAGATGGTGGTAATAGATCAACAAGATGGTGGTAATAGATCAGTATAAGATGGTGATAATAGATCAACAAGATGGTGGTAATAGATCAATGTAAGATAGTGGTAATAGATCAATATAAGATGGTGGTAATATATCAATATAAGATGGTGGTAAAAGATCAATATAAGATGGTGGTAATAGATCAACATAAGATGGTGGTAATAGATTCTCTGTCTCCTTGATCGCCGATCAAATCAAAACGAAATACTTGAATCTAAAACCGTCACGAAAAGCTAGTGACTATAGACGACATTTTATCTATTATTTGATTTAAAAGAAATGCTATAAATCAATAATTTGTGATTTTTCATTTTTAGCAATGGTTAATAAAGAATTCAGTTTGTGTCAACAGCAGTTTAATTAATTGTTTTTTTTTACATGAAATCACTGGATATGATTGAAGTATTTTGTTAATGTTTATGATCTCTTATAAAACCACTATCTACAGCTATACAACGCTAAACTCAGGGATTCAATTCCCCTTGGTGAACACAGCATATAGTCTGATGTGGCTTTGCTATAAAACACACACCACAATCAAAGGTAGATAAATTCTACAATGTGATACAAATAAGGAAACGATATTCGAGATATTTTTTAAACTGAAGCTTTTATTTACGGTTGTCTTGCTGTTACAGTAAACACAATAACTTTCACATTAGTTTCAACTAAGTGTATCTGGACTATCTAGGATATGAGTACCATTTAACTTTGGCTTTCCCTGATTTAACATATTTTGATTACATATTATATATATATATATCAGGAAGTTCAAAATCTTTGAGAGAGAAGTTAGTAATATAATTAAAGCGACAGAATGGCAGAAAAGCTTAACAATTTAAAGCATTTCTTTAAACAAAATCCTTGAGGTTTAAAGAAGAGAATAACATTACACGTTCTAAGCTATTAAAGATGGCAATAAATAGAACAAATAATTTAAATTATCAGTAAAATGACCGTCAGGCAGCGATTTAACCTAAACGTGCCTTGAAGAAAGGGCTGGGCATATTAGGTATGTAGTTAATGACAGGTTCCGGAGCATGGGAAGTGTCAACGTCACCGATGCAGTTCTTTGGGTCGTTGAAATAGAAACAGACTTTTCGGGGTGCCATTCTGTGGCGACGTTGGAGTTGACAGCAAAGTCCTTTCGATACGTCACACTCGCTACTAGTCAAACACTCGTCATCTAAAGAATAACAAATAAAGGTCACATTATCTTCCAAAAAATTGTGTAATTATTCCCTATTAATTACTATGTTGCTATGCGACACTATACGTATAGCGATCATTACAGTTAAGTAATAATTTATATTTATGCGTTCTAATACTTTAAGCTTTAATTACTGGGTGATTGAATAACAATTTTTATATTTTGAGCTTTGTTTTCTCCGAAATAAATAAAATAGGTTGATTTGCCATCTGTTGATGCTTTACTTTATTGATAAATTAAAAAATCAGAACACCGCATATTTTTGGGCTTAATGTAATTAGTCTTCAAAAGAATTAATTGTTACCCAAGATAAATCACATGACACAACAGAAATATCTTTGTTTGTTAAAATATCTAAAGGAAGAAGAAAAATCAAGTGATGAAATGCTTTAACGTAGAAAAAAAAAGGAATTCATTGTTTTGTAGAAATTGTGATCAAACATTATCTTATTAGGGAAAACTCCAGTTACAAGTAGAAACAGTTTTGAATGTGTTTACTTTCAAACATTAATTCCCCTGTCTTTAATGCAAGTCATGTTGACAGATATATGAGTTGTGAGAGCAATTTCTACTTACCAGATAAAGTCAAAAGATAAAGATAACAGTTTAAGTTTAATTTATTTTAAGGAACGACATTTCGAAATATAAAAACAATGTATTATTTAAATTCAAACAAGTTATACATTGTGATTTTTTCATAATTAATTTAATCTGCGCATTGAGTTAAGTATAACCCCCCCCCCCTTATAACGCTAAAATGCAAGGTTCCATTCTCCAAAATGGACAGATCGCTGATGGCTTATTGTGTAGTTTTGCGTTAAAACAAATAAATTATGATATTGAAAGTACTCAACTGTCGCCATCTGTTGAGAAAGATAAATAAATAACAAACTTTTTTTAAACTGTTAAACTCCGATTCACATCTGCCACCACAACTCCTGGTCGGCTAGATTCGTGTTCTACTCATGAAAGGTAAACCCTCAATATCTTTATATTAGTGAGAATTAATATTAATATTTTATACTATTTTATTGGTTTTAGGCGTAAAGCTGCACAATGGAACTTCTGCTGTGGGCCTATCTCAGGGTTTGAACCACAATTTTTTGTGTTATAAGCTCTCGAGTATATCTCTGAGTTACCAGAGTAGAGTATTAATATCATTTTACATAAAGTTGAAAATTAAATTAAGTATACATTGCTGTAAATAATTTATTCTAAACAGGTGTTTACCAGAATTTAATTTATAATTTCAAAATTATATATACATATATATATATATGTATATACCGATATAAGCAGTACATCCAGAACCGTGTTTCAGCCTCCCATAACTTTACCCTCATTTCTAGTGTTTCTAAGGTGTTTGTAAAGAAACATTTGGTTTACTAAAATTATAATTATAATTATAATATGGCATATATATAATCATAACTATTATCTGTTATGTTGTCTGTCTAGGGACCACTTTCTTCTTTTCTTAATTATATTAATGTTCTTTTTCTGGCGTGTTTTATTGGTTTTATAATTATAAAAGATCACATAAAACTCTTTGCAAATTTCAAATTGAAGCTTAATGGTTAGATTTTTTACATTCGTTTCTCTAAAAATAGAAGTCACTGTGTAATATTTGTTTTGTTGAATTTCGCGCAAAGCTACAGGAGGGCTATCTGCGCTAGCCGTCCCTA